TGACCCATAACCAGCCTGCCTTTGGACTGAAGAGGTACGTGTGACGTGTGCACATAAAACAGATTTGCCTGATGCACACCTGACGAATGACCTGAAGGAGCCAGACTGATGCTTCCCTTTGAACTAACTATAAAGAAAGCAAGTGCCCAGCAAATTTACTCTGTGCACTTTTTAAGATTAGGAGACTGAGACTGAAATTCCTCAGACTAGATGTGTCCATTTACCCGCAGGCACTGTGGAAATATACAACCTCTACACGCAACGGCGGCGGCTAGTTATAGACTATTCTTTGCTATTGAGTAAAGTAGACCCCCCTTTAGGATCTTGATTGACCATAAAGTCTAAAACAATACCTTATTTTTCCACATGTGCTGTCATTTGGACTTTACTCTCAATTTACTCTGCTTGCCCCATTACCTCTCATCTCCTGGTTATTCCAAATTAGAGAGCTCTCTGTGGGGTCCTGGCCCTACCTGGTAGCACACTGCCTGGGCCCACAATACTCATTCCATGGATGCTTGTTCAATGAGGATGAACAGAGGAATAAGATACATTTCTGTGCATTCATGTTCCCCAAATACTCTTCTGGTCAGCGCTCCCGTAGTTGTGCGAACACTTTCCTCACCCATTGGATACCTGGGTCTGAGAGTCAGTTTAGGTCCTAATAGTCACGAGAGATTCAAGGCAGTATTTTCTCACCCATTTAACTCCTCAACAACTAATTCACATAATAAGGCACATCACGTCATAAAACAGGACACCATGGTAAACTTGAACAGCTCTTGCTGGGCCACCGTCAGCATCCCTGTTGGCCGCTGGCACACAGAGAGCCTCCTGTCCACAGCAGCCCAGAATCATTCAGGTTTTTTTATTGCACTAGCCATTTTCTAGATAGCATATGCCATTTTATTAACTTTTTGAGCTATAATTCACATATCATAAAATTCACCGATTTAAAGTGTACAGCTCAATGTTTTTTATTCACAATGTTTTATATTCACAGTTATACAACCATCACCACAATGAATTTTAGAACATTTTCATCACCTCAAAAAAAAAAACCAAACCCCACACCCATTAGCTGTGACTCCCCATTTCCCCTCAATCTCCTCTGCTCTAGAAAAACACTAAGTACTTCTGTCTGTATAGATTTGACCATTCTGGACATTTCATATAAATGGAATCAGACACTACAGTCCTTTGTGTCTGGCTTCTTTCACTTAGCATGGTGTTTTCAAGGATTCAGCTATGTTGTAACATGTACCAGAACTTCATTTCTTTTTATTGCCAAATAGCATTCTGTTGTATGGAGACCATAATTTATTTATCCATTCATCATTTGATGGACATTTGAGTGGATTCCACTTTTTGGCTATTAGGAATAATGCTACCATGAACTGGAGAAGTTTTAGTGTAGACACATGCTTTGATTTCTCCTGGATATACACCTAAAAGTATATCCAAGGAATGGCTGCGTCAGACGATAACTGTACATTTAAGCTTTTGAGAAACTGCCAGACTGTTTTCCAAAGGGGTTGTACCATTTTACATTCCCATTTGTAGTGCACGAAGGTTCCATTTACCCCACATTCTTGCTAACATTTGTTGTCTTTCTTGATGGGTATGAAGAAGTATCACCTTCTGTGTTGATGTTCGTTGTCCTGATGGCTAATGATGTTGACCATCTTTTCCTGTGTGAACTGGCCATTTTATGTCATCTATCCAGATCCTTTGCCCATTTTTAAATTGGGATATATGTCTTATATTTTGAGTTGTAAGAGATCTTTACGTATTCTGGATACCAGCACTTTTTCAGATATATGATTTGCAAAAATTTTCTCCCAATCTGTGTGTTGTCTTGTCACTTTCTTGACAGTGTCCTTTAAAGCACAACATTTTTAATTTTGATGATGTCCAATGTATCTATTTTTCTTCTGTTGCTTATTATTTTAGCAACATGTCTAAGGAACCATTGCTTAATCCAAGGTCGCAGAGATTTATGCTTGTGTTTTCTTCTAAAAGTTTTACAGTCTTAGCTCTTATATTTAGGTCTTTGATACATTTGGAGTTAATTTTTGTTATACCATGTGAGATCACGTGTTATTTTTGAAAATAAATTAAAATGAGAAATAATCAGGAGTTTAAAAAATATGCAGTTATCTTTGATTTTAATTGAAAATCATGTGATGGTTCATAAAATATATTTAATGGAAGAAGATTAACTTCTAATGAGGCTGATATTCTCAATATTTACTTTAAGAATTTTATAAGCTCAGAACTGTTAGAAATGGCCTTTGACATTTTTGTTTTTTTAAATCAACGGCTCTCAGTAAAGATTTAAATAAATTAAACCATATTTTAATATGCCATGTAATATTTTTAAAAATATTAAAAACATGTTTACTCCCCTCTTAGAATGATATCAGCTTGAGTTTAACACAGTAGCTCTCAGTCCAGGGTGATTCTACTCCCCAGGGGACATCTGGCACTATTTAGAGACTTTTTTTTTTTGGTCACACCGTTGGTCGGCGGGGGTTGTGCTGGCCTCCACTGAGCAGAGATGCTGCTAAACAGTCTACAGTGCATAGAACAGCCACCAATGCAAGGAATCATCCAGCCTCAAAAACCAATTGTGCCAAGGTTGGAAACCCTGCTTAATTAAATCAGTGGCCTCTGTCAGATATATTTGAAAAGAGATGTGAATTTGCAAATCCTTTTTCCTTCATTTACAACCTCCTGGTTTTCTCCCATCACAATACAGAGTCTTTCAGAGGCCGAAACGTGCCCCAGAACCTTAACTTTCATCACAGCCCCTCAGAGACAAAAATCTATTGGGTTTTTCCTTGTGAGGGTCATTGGGAAAACTGCCATCTTTGTTGCTTAATTTATTATTTACTTGTATGTGTTCATTTTTTGACTTTTGAGACATATTTGGAGAATTCTTCCCCCGTTCAACATACATATTTAGATAACCGATCTCCTGTTAAAATGTTTTCATCCGATTCTAGAACAATAGTAGTTGTGAGTGCTTGGCACTAATTTAATTTTCTCAACAACCCAGAGAGTGACTAATATTCACATTTTACAGCCGTAGAAACTAAGGCACAATGAGATGAGGCAACTCTCCCTGGATCATATGAGCCATCACTACCACAGGTCAGGACCCAAGCCCGAGGGGGACCAGCAGCGAGGGGCGGGTGTGTCACAAAGCCTTGGTTCCTCGTTATGGGCAACCGAGAGAGACAGTTAGCGCCCTGCCATGGGGGAGAAGGACAGCCCCTCTTACCTTGGCCCCGCCCACCGACGCCTGGCTCTCCTGCGACCATCACCCACCCCGCCTCTCACAGTGGACAGCGTCTGAGGCCGGCTGCTTCAGGAAAACTGGGATGCCTGTGACATCGCTCACGTTCTTGGCATTCACCCGCAAACCAGCCAAGGCCAATTTTCTACCTACCGGCCATCTTCTCAGAACACGCGCCACTTCCCAAATGCCTCTCCTGACTGTGGCTTAAATCTACTTGCATGTACGCCAGTGCTCCTTCCGGGGCCCCTTGTACACGCTGTGCACCCAGCGAGGCCGGAGCCCCTGCAGCTCTCCTAGAGTCCCGGTCACACGCCGTCCCCTGAGCTCACAGCCGCTGCTCTTACTGGAACAGCACGGCGGTGCTAAGCAGTGGCAAAACATCTTGTAAAAAAAAAAAATGCTGCAGCTTAACAGGAGTATTTCCCTCCCAGGCTTTATCCCTCTTTGTGCACGCAGCTATCTCCATATACCTGACACCATTTCCCTCTCAGAGAGGCTTTCAGGGAAGGGGCTGGGGGGTGGGCGGGTGACTGAAGATAGCACGGGATGGAAGTCCCGGTTAGCCCGTTCGCAGTGTGGCAGGAAGGGAGGTGAGATTCTGCTCACATCTGCCTTCCAGGTATCCTCCACCACCTCTTCAAATGAAAGGGGGAGAAATGAAAGGGAGAGCAAGCAATGACGAGAACTGAAGGTGGCTCACCTCCCTGAAATCTAAAGAAGAACCCTGGCTTTTGTTCTAGACCTGTCCCTGAAACAAATTGGGCAAATTTTTCCTCGTTCTGGGCCTCAGTTTCCCCTGGAAGGAAGGGTGCATGCACGAGACAGTTTCTAAGCATCTTTGCAAATATAAACTTTCAATCTCTAAGGTACTGGGGGTTGAGTTAAGGAAAGCCCATGGGATTCAAATCCACCCTAATTAGGAATCTGCTTTAGTAGGAAGCCCACACCTAGAAGCCTGCCCATGTTTGAAGGAGACACCACAATGATTGGTTGGTGCTATCTTTCTTCAGAGATCCATCTCCAGGGGCGACGTTCAAAATATTTAACAGCCCGTATGGCATGAGCACAGACTGTCATGAGGGTAGAAGGCAGCTGGTCGGGCCTTCCCGGGCTGCAGCCTGAAGGCTGGCCTTGCCCACCTCCCCCACCTCCCCCACCTCACCGTTCTGCTGAGCTTTTAACCCACTTTTTGGGGGAGTCTGCCTCTTCCTGCCTGATTCTGCCTCCAGGGCTCTAACTCAGACCGCTTGGCTTTTTTCTCTCCCTGATCACTTTATACACAACAGCTATAAATATCCTCCTGCATCAAAACACCAACTTAATCTTATTTGTCACTCAGCAGATGCTTTTAGAGTGTCCCTCTGTGCTCAGCCCCGTGTTGGCTGACCACTCGCCCCCTCGTCTTCAAAAAACACTAGAGGCTGAGAAACACCAGGAGATCAAAAGGCCTAGCCTAGCTCTGCCGCCCCCCCGCCGCCCCCCCCCCCCCCAGTCTGCTGTGTGACCTCAGACAAGTTCCTGCTCCTACCAGATGTCAGATTCCTCACATGTAAATGAGTGACTTCAGCCTAGTTGTTCAACGATGAGTTTCTGGATATATGCATGTCTTCAGCAGCTGACCGCTTTCTCTCTCTCTCTCTTTCTCTCTCTCTCCCTCTCTCTCTCTCTGTCACGGGGGCCACCACCTCCACTGTAGAATGCACTGCTGCCCGCAGGCCTGAGGCAGAAGGATCAGACCACCAAGGCGCCCACGGGCCCCTTTAAAAGGGAGGAGCTCTTGGATCACTTGGAAAAGCAAGCAAAGGAGTTTAAGGACCGAGAAGATCTGGTCCCCTACACAGGGGAAAAGCGAGGTACTGAATAACGTTGCTCTTATGAATATGTCACTCCCCCTGCATCGCTGAGTGCCAGCTGTATGCCAGGCTCTGTGCTGGGCCTGATGTGACTGGGCTTCCTTGCCCGTATCCCTGCCTGGCCCCCAAACATAAACCCAACTCCAGAAGCATCAAAGATGTAGGTTTAGGGAAGTTTGGGGGTAATCCAGACCAGCAAAACTCCTCCTTTAATCCCCTTTAACTGGGGTATCCTGCTTATTTTTCATACAAACCTAGGCAGGTTAGAAAGTGAGGGAAGTAACTATTAATCATGATATTGGGACAGGAAACCTAAGCAAGGCCCATCCTGTGCAAACCAAGAACAAGAGATACCTTATCTCTCCCCTCAGCATCCCTGATCTTTCCCAAAGGATCCTCTCTCTGGCAATTGCATTATTCCTTCCTTCATCTGTTCCTTCACAGACTCTGCCCCAGCCTAAGGCAAGCCTTCTAGAAGTGTCTGGAGAGCAGAGAGGCAGTCCCTGACTGCTCAGCCCTTCCAGGACTTCCCGCTGCACTCCCAACCATTCTACTGCCCTCTTCTGCCACGCTTGTCCTGCCTGGCACCTGCCCTGCCTGCTTCCCCACAGGTCCCCTGAGCTCTTTTCCACCTCAGGACCTGCGCACGGCTCCCCTCTGCCTGGGGTGCTGGGCTGTCTTCCTCCCCTGTAAGTGGCACAGTGGTCGGAAACCCAGCCTGGAGCAGGATGTGTTTTGGTTGTAATGCTGGCACGCCACTCACTAGCTGTGTGAGCTTGAGTGCTCTGTTAAACCCTCTGTGCCTCCATTTCCCTGTCCATAAAATGGGGGTGATGAAAATAATATTGCCAGTTATGAGAACTGAGTTCAGATGCACATGAGGCGCTTGGGACAGCACCTGGCCCATAGCGAATGCTATGCAAGTGTTAGCTATTAGGGTCCTTTCAGTCTCAGCTGCCCTGTCTCCTCTTTTCAGGGCAGCCTTTTCTGTCTCCTTGGTTTAGGATGTGCAGTCCCTTCAGCTCCCCCTGGCACTTCTTCACCTCAGGAGCCTGTGGGCTCCCTTTGTAGCAATTCCCATTTTGTCGTTATCTCTTCACTTATCATTTGCCTCTCCCACTGGCCTGGAAGCCCCACGAGGCCAGACACTCAGGCTGTTTTTGCTCACACAACACCCTCAGCACCTGGCGCAGGGCCTGGTATACAGTCGGGCCCAGGAAAGAACTGGTGAATGGATGAATGAGTTCAAATTAAATAAATATATAATGAATCGTGGGCTAATTCCTTAGAATAGAAGCGCCACGAGGACCAGGACCACATCTGCCTTGTTCATGACATCCACACTTAATAAATCCTAGCACATAGGAGACACCCAATATATATTTGTTTAATTAATTTGTTAATTGTGTGATTAATTGTTTATTTTCAGTCTCTTCCATTCTCCCTACCCTCAAGAGTCTGAGTCTGTGGCTTTTATCCCTGTATCCCTGTTGAATGAGCACAATACGCTGCACAGAGTATCTGCTTGATAAGTAATCAAATGAAAAAGCCAGCAGGAGCAGACTGGTCAGGAGGACGCTGAGCCATCCCAAACCCTGGTGTTGGAGCTCTGACCAGATTTTACTGAAAACCTGGCAGGTCAGGGAAGCCCGGGGCCATCGGGATGGAGAACTCCAGAAGGACTGTGTGACCCGAGGCGCCCTGACAGGGTGGCAGGGCAAGGGCCCGGGATGACCGGGGCCGGGTCGGTAAGGGCTAGGCGTGTCCGCTAAGTTTGTGGGCACGAGATGTTTTTAAGCAAGCCACTTATGCCAGGAGGAGTAGTTTTTGCGCAGCAGATAAAGATAATAGAATCTCTGGATTTCATGAGGCCTTCAAACACCCAGCATCCCAGCTGCCCATTTGGCAAATGGGGAGGCCGGGGCTGTGAGAGAGTCAGCGGCCGACCTAGGTAGACAGCTGGCACGTCATTGCTGGCATCCACTTCCTCAGGCACCCACCCCGCTCCCAGGGAGGAACTGGAGATGAGGTGGGGGTGGGGAAAGGAATCTGGGCCGTACACACCCAATCCTGCCCCTGCAGAGAATGCCAGCCTGGCCTAGTGCCTGCTACAGTGCTCTGGGCTCCCAGAGCCTAACTGCCTTCATGAAAAAACAGAACAAACCAGCTCGACTCAAGAAGGGTCGCTAGAATGTATTCTATTGCTACGTAATGACAAGCCTAAAGTGTTCATCATTGTCATTGTCATCCCCACCACCAGTGCCATCACCGTAAAGTATTTCCTGGTGATTGTTGGAGTCTGCAGGTTGAATAAGTGGGGGTCTCAACAGAAAGTGTGGGGAAGACCTTCTAGGTCTAACAGCCAGATGCAGGGCCGCTTAGTCCAGCCTGTGCTGAGCATGCGCCCAGTGCTGGGCCTGGAGCTGCGTTAGGCTTGGGGGGAAACAGCGCTCCAGCACACAAGACCCTGCAGAATGTGGTCGGAGCCACGCACTGCTGCAAAATCCTGAGGAACTGGAACTTCATCCACTCTCATTCAAGCGGGAGATCAGAATAAAATATCCATGCAGTATATTTTCATTAGAATTAGACTTGGCTACATGTACTTGGGGGGGGAAAGTAAAATAAGAGGGATAATTAAGGTGGAAGTTTCATTTTCTTTCACTTAGAAGAGTTGCAGGGTTAGGCAGTCCAGAGCTGGTAAGGCATCTTGCCTGGTATTAGGAATCAAGACCCTTTCCAACTTTTTTTTTAATCTGCCATTCCTGCAATATGTTCTTGTCCTCATGGTCCTTCTGGTTGCTAAAGTTCCTGTCATCACATCACCATTCCAATTCATAAGATGAAGGAAGGGAAGAAGTCCAAGTCCTTCTTGTGGTATCTTGGAGGCACCACCCTCAGTGGAGGCACCAGCTGCAGGGATAGGTCTTAAATATTTATTGAATGTCCATTCTTGTCATCGTACCAACCATTTTCACAGTTGATTTTCATTTTAGCCACTTTGTTTTCTTTGTGTGTTTTGTCCTTTTCCAGGTCCACCTCTGGCGGAGGTTGTGATACATTTTCTCTTAGATGATTTTGTTGTGTTTTCTGCTTACATGGGCATTGATCTTTGCTGTAAATAATTTAAACAATAAAACAAAGTAATTCAAAGTCATTTCCTCCACTGACAGAGGTACACTGATCCCATTTTAGTGAATATCCTTCTGGACATTTCTCCCTGCACTCCCTACCGCTTCCCACCTCTACTGTCACCGCCCTGGTCCAAGCCACCACCGTCTGTCACCTGGACTGTGGCAGGAGCCTCCTGGCCGTCTCCCGGCTTCCCTCCTCGCCCCTCTCTGGGCTGCTCTCAGTCAATAGTGAAAGGGAGCAGGGTTTTGTTGTTGTTGTTGTTGTTTTTTCAATTGAGGTAAAATTCACGTAACATAAAATTAACCACTTTAAAGTGAACAATTCAGCGGCATTTAGTACATCCACAATGTCGTGCCACCATTCTCTCTATCCAGATCCAAAACATTTCCTTCACTCCAAAGTGAAACCCTGTACCCAATAAGCAGTTACTGCCATGCTCCCCTGCCCACCACGGATCTGTTTCTATAGGTTTACCTATCCTGGGTATTGCCTGTAAATTAAATCATATGATATCTGGGTAGTTCCTGTAAATTAAAATGATGGGTGACTGTGTGTCTGGCTTTTTTCACTTAGCGTATGGTTTTTGAGACTCATTCCCTTTTATGACTAAATGATATTCTATCGTTTGCTTATCCCTGCACCCACTGATGACCTTCTTGGTTGTCCCCACTTTTTAGCTATTGCGATTAGTGCTGCTGTGAACATTTATGTACAAGTGTTTGTCTGAATGTCTGTTTTCAGTTCTTTTTGCTGGATCATATGGCAATACTGCGCTTGCTGGTCCTCGGGGCTCATTTCCTCCTCATTCCTTCCCAGCTTATAGGCCGTCACGTCCATGAGGCCTTCCCTGGCCACCCGACCTGAAAGAACACGCCCACCTCACTCAGCCCCCGGCCTAGAACTTCCCAGTCATTCACCCTGCTTTGTTTTTCTCCACACCACCATCTAATCACTTTTCGTACTCGTTGACCATCTGTCTCCTTTCACTAAATTGTAAATTGCTCATTGCTACTGCCCTAGCCCCTAAAAAGGGGCCTGGCATGTAGGAAACAATAAATGTCAATTGCACAAATATATAGGAGTCATTTTTCATACAAGGAATTAAATTATTCATGCTATTTTTTAAAAGAATGTTATTTATTTATTTTTAGAGAGAGGGGAAGGGAGGAAGAAAGAGCAGGAGAGAAACATTGATATACAACAGAAACACTAATCCGTTGCCTCCCTCATGCCCCTAACGAGGGACCTGGCCCTCAACCCAGGCATGTGCTCTGACTGGGAACTGAACCAGCAGCCCTCAGGATTGCAGGCCAGTGCTCAAGCCACTGATCCACACCAGCCAGGGCTCATGCTGTTCCGTACACTTGTTTTTGTCATATTTTGTCTTGGCATTTTCCTTCTTAGTAAGTGGAGGTCTCCATTACCCTTAAAAAGAACTGCTGGACCTCCATTGCGTGGGTGCCCCAGAATTTCTTCAGCAGTTCCTACAGGGGGACGCAGCAGTGACTGTTCTTGTATGTGCTGCTTTGCTCCCTTGTTCAGTTATGAATTTGACACTTTAAAAATATCATGTCCCATGAGGCAAGGAGACATTTCTTGCTCCCCATTCCACTTTGAATAATCTGAGTACATTTTATTTATTTTGTTTACAGATGTTTCTAAATTTTTCTCTCCCATCAGAACCTTTGGTTATGATATCCTAGACCCTAGCATGATAACATATTTATCTTTTTCCTACTTACAGGTCATTTAAATTAATGATCAATGTTTTCCATAATGAACAGTCTAGTTTGACCAAGAAATAAGGGTATTCTTTTCAAATGTAAGAAGTGCTTTGTTGGATGTCTTCAATTCCCATTCCTTAGGATGTTTGGCACTGGGTTCCCAGAGGGACTCGGCATCAAGGGATCACAGGGCTCTGGGATGGTCACCCAGGGCCATTGCCAGAGTCTGTCCCAGTGCCGCCACACTCCCTGAAACGGGCACTCATGTATTTGCAGGCAAGGTCTGGGTCCCCAAGCAGAAGCCGATGGATCCTGTGCTGGAAAGTGTGACATTGGAGCCGGAGTTGGAGGAGGCGCTGGCGAACGCCTCAGATGCCGAACTCTGTGACATCGCAGGTAAGAAGCGCTCCAGAAGCTCCCCCGCGTCCTCCAGAAGGAGCTGACCCACAGCTGCAGGGAGCCTTGCATGGTTTATTTCAACATGAACACCCTCTCTCTGTCTAGCAAGAACTAGAGAAGTCCAAGAATACTAGAACAGAAGTCCATTATCAAAAATCAAAACAAGGAATACAGAGATAAAACTACCCCAAACCATTACACCACGGAGCTATCTGTTGTTGCCATGTACCCCATCCCAGAGGACTGCGGGAGCGTCGGGGGGCTGGGGGAGTGGAGCTGCAGGGGTCCTGTACCCCTGCTGCATGAAGTCCTGCCCACACCACAGGGGCCGAGAGAATGGGGGCACAGATAGAGGTCTGGGGGCATCTCGAGTTTGGGAGGTTCCCAGTGGCTGGAGCAAAGCCATCTGATTTTGCCACTTTGCACAGACAGTCCAGAACTGCACCCCCCCAATCTCATGTCTGCACAACACCCTCTATCTCCATGTGTATTTCCATACAAACATCACAAACAACTCCTACAACCCCAGGAAGTGGCCCGGTCTTCAGAGCCCTTCACCCCCTCATCATCTCTCCTTATTACAGTCCACGGTCCAGTCCCTGCCCCACATGCCTGCGCTCCGCGCCCTCCAGGAGTCAGGTCTGGCCACCGCGCGCACTCTGCACGCCCCGCCTCGTGCTGTGCCCCCGGCCGGTGGGCTGGATGGTCTTTTCATTCCACAGACTTGGGGGCTATTAGCCATCACCCCGATGATGACAGGAGGGTGGAGAGGGTGGGGGGAGACTCGAGGCAAATGGGAAGGGGAGAGGAAAGATGGGCTTGACTCTGTCCAGCTGTGACAGTGAGGTTGGGGAGAAGTCAAGTCAAGTTCCAGATTGCCAGCTTCAGAAACTAAGTAGGTGGCAGTGTCATCGACGAAGGGTGTGTGTTCGTCTGCTGTAGCTGCCATGACAAAAATACCATGGGCTGGGTGGCTTAGACAATAAACACTTACTTTCTCCTACTTCTGAAGTTAGAAGCCCAAGATCAAGGTATCAGCAAGTTTGGTTTCTTCTTGTTGGCTTGCAGATGGCCACACCTGTGTCCCTCTGTGCGTGTGTCCCCTGGCGTCCTTTTGTGTGTTCTTATCTCTTCTTATGAAGACACCAGTCAGGTTAGATTAGGGCCCACCCTAAAAGCCTCACTGTAACTTAATCACATCTTTAAAGACCTTATCTCTGACTACAGTAGTAAATTCTGAGGTACTGGGTGTTGGGACTTTAATGCATGGATTTTGGAGGGATGCCGTTCAGCCCGTGACAGTGGGAGAGAAGCAGGCTCGGGGGAAATGCCAAGTTCAGTTTGAAGTGTCTGTGAGCCACCCAGGTGGTAACAGCTGTGTGTGAAAGTCTTGAGTTCCGCGACGGATCCACGCTGGAGCCCTTGTAGCATCATTAATATAAAGATATGGCATCGTTAGCCTTGTCAAGCTCCAGGCAGAGGGCATGATGGGAGTGCAGGCCTGGGGCTCTGTAGACAAGTGTCCCGGCCAGGGTAGAAGCCTTTGAGAGGTGAGGAGTTGAAATGGGGCAACTCCAGCCACAGTGGGGGCCAGTAAGCCACAAACGGGCTGGGCACTAAAGGCCAAATCAGAATGGGCAGAACCTACTCAAGAGCTAGGGAGACAGAATGAGGGTTCAGGGCTGGCCTGAGACCCAGGTACAGGCCAGGTGAGGCCACCAATGCCAGGGGGCTTGGCCTCTTGCCTCATCACATCCTCTGGCTTCTCGTGGGTGTGGTGCAAGAGTCCTGAGGACATTTGTTACAGGGGCTGGAGAGCGGAAAATGGGACGGCTGTCATCTGTAGTGGGACCATGCGGGGGAGGGGCGGTGAGAAGACCCAAATATGCAGGAGGGGTGACCTCTGGGTGCTGGTGGTCAAAGCCAGATTGCAGGGACCCACGGAGCGAATGCGGAGAGCCAGTGTGTAGACTTTGAATCCAAACAACCCTTTCCTGAGGAGGCAGAACATTTGGCAAAGGCCCAGGGGCAGATGCCTGAAGGGTGTCAGGGACGAGAGAGGAAGGTTTTCATTTTCCCTGTGAATCACCGAAGCAGCATCTCACCCCAAAGGAAATAGAACACTTAATTCAGAAAATGTAACTGGTTTGCTTTGAAGTTCAAATTTTGTGTTGTCAAAACCACACAAATCATATTAGATCCCACGTCATGCGCATGTATTTTGACCGAACCATTTCCCTGATAGGGGGTGGGGGCGGGGTGTCCCCTTGACTTCCGGTTAATCCAGCAGCAGGGAGATGGGTGAGTGACACTGCAGCGCAGCACCTCCACACTGACTCACCCCAGAGCTGTTTTTATCCTGGTCCCTTCCCTCCGATCGCCAACCCCCCAGCCCCCACCACCCGTGACATCGCTCCCCTCATTAGTCAGCTCAGAAGGATTATCAGATGACTCCGCGTCAGAGCCACCAGTTCCTGTGCCAAAGTAGAGCTGCAATATTGGGCTAAGTTTCTGTGTTGATTTCTTGAAACGATTTCTCTTTAATTTTGCTGGCATGGCTAATTATTATTATCTGTTCATGATACCATATCCTTCTGAGGTCTGGAAAGGAGGAGGGAGCTGTAAGTCGACACCAGTATTCACTGGCTCAACTTGGACGCCTGTCATCATGTATCAGCCATTTGAAAAGTGGCAGTGTCTCTGGGGAAGGAGGGACTGAGCACTTGTTGACCACCAACTATGTCGCACATGCTGTGGGAGCTGCTTCCAATACCTTGCTTTTTATTTAGCGACTGCAGCAATGCTCTGAAGTATGTTTCTTTGTCCAATTTTACGGATGGAAGAAGTAGGCACGGTGAGGTTACGTGCCTTGCCTGTGCGGTTTGACCCCAGGCAGCTTCGCTCTATGGCCCAGTCACAGCGTCACCATCCAGTGCAACCTGGATAAAGCCCTTCAGGGCTGGGAAGCACAGTGGACACAGATGATGGGAGAGCGCGGTGCCAAGTCTCACGGAGTCGGCAGGGGGCAGATGGGGCCACAGTAGGAAAGGCTTTGGATGCCTCACTAGGGCACTGACACCTGGGACTAGGGGAGGGTTGGGAGAGGCCGATGAAAGCCGGGGGGTGGGCAGAGAGGCAGTGGTGTTTAGAGGATGGGGGACACTGGAGGCAGGCCCCAGGTGAGGCCAATGGCCAGGCGGAACCCTGCTTGTGAGATGTGGCTCCACCGAGAGATCGGCTGTTCCTAATCCTGCTGGAATTTCAAAGATGCTGCAAGAGATGGAGGCAGGAGGGACAGGACATCTTGTCAGAGTGCTGGGTGTGGCGAGCCCCCCAGCGGCAGGGGAGAAGGGAGGGGGTGGTTTGGCCTTTCCCAAGGAGGGAGTGGATGGAGCCCAGTGTGGGCGAGTCATTAGAGATAGAAAAGTAGGGAGAGGAAGGAGGGCCTCATCTCGAGCTTTCACAGTTCAGCTCCTGGGCAGAGCACTTCCGTGAAGTGCACTCTGCGGGCTCACCCATTCACTCAGCAGCCACTGTCCTGGCCTCCCTTCTGTTGCCAGGCTCTGGACGAGCCCTGGCAAGAGAACCCTAAGAAAGCAGCCTGGCTCCTGCCCTCGTACAGCCATGTAAGCCAACACTGAGACCAATGTAAAATGACAAGTGAGGGTGAGTGTCAGAAAGGAGAAAAGGACAGGGTGGGCGCCTGGCTGGGTGGTGGAGCCAGGGTGCTGAAGGAAGGGCAGGGTGCAGTGGGGGAGCGCGGGGCAGGAGGCAGGCCCCTCAAACCGCTCGCTTCGCAGGTTTGATATTTGGGGATGAGGGAACATGTAGGAGAACACCCGGCAGAGGTGTCATGCTGACTCAGGTGCGACACGGGTAAGACAAGGCCTGCGACCTCTCATTTCTTCATTTGGTTTCCTGTTTGTGCATCACCCATGCATTCACTCCTTCACTCCTGGAGCCGGTGTACATTATTGAACTCCTACTGTATAAATGAATTGGATCCAGCCCCTGTCCTTGGCGAGCCCAGGATGTGATGGGAGGACAGAACAGGAGCATGTCAATTTTAACATGAAATGTGTCACTGCAGGGTCACGAACAGACAGGCCTCCGACAGGACAAAATTCTTGGCGCGTGGCCTTGGGTCGTAGCTTGGAGGCCGCTGGGAGCCATCCACCAGCGTTCGCCATTATCAATGCCTCTCCTCCCCAGTTAGGGATGCGATCCTGGCTTGCCTTTAGGGACTCTTCAGGTGGAGTAGGACCCAAGAAGGAATGGGGGGTCAGGAGACTCACCCGTCAGAAGGGCCAACCCTCAGGCAACCCCCGAGGGCAGGTGGCAGCCCCTGGCTCCTTTGACCAGCAGAGGCAGCTTTAGGCAGCCCACCTCAGCTCCAGGTGTCCCGTTCATGCCTCAGGCTCTTGTTCTGCAAGAGTCAGGGTGTGGCTTATCCAGGAGCCATTCAACAGCACCCAAGTCCTGAGCCAGCGCCAGCGTCTCCCAACTGTTCCTAGGAAGCCTGCCGCCCGCCCTGAGCCAGTCCGAGCGGCTGGCAGCTGGGGAGGCCCAGGAGTGTGCTGTTATCTCCTGCTTCCCTAGTGGAATTACGACCCGGTTGAACCCTGCCAAGGCAGAGCGAGGAAAGAGAACTTGATGTTCTTTTTCAGAGTTCAAAAATAGTCCTTTTTGAGTTTTGAGGAAGATCTAGACTTTTTTTTTTTAAATTACATTCCCCAGTGCTAAATTCAGCCTTGCCAATATCTACCAAGAATGAAGCAACAGGCCATGTCGATGTGCTGTTTTCCTCCCTCACACATGCCTCCCTCCCTCCTTCCATCCTTCCTTCCTTCCTTCTTTCTAATCTCCTTTCTAATTTCCTCAGAGCTGCAGAGTGGTTTTTCTTTTTGTCTTAGGCCTGCTATTGATATGACTTCCTAGAATATATATTATCTGTTTTTAGAATTCTGCAGTAGAGGGGCAGTTTTATAACTGTAGGACCGCTGGTGACCTTGTGTGTGGAGGAGTGTTTGGGAATACTAACTGCAAAGCTAGAGAGTCCTTGCTAGATGGTCTTTGACAAACAATTTCCCCCTCGAGCCTGCGGGAGAAGTTGGAGGGTCGGCGGCACCTACCCTGGTGGCTGGTTGTAAAAAATCCAACAGGATAAAAAGATGAGACATGGTGTGGCTGTTAAGTCCTATGTGAAGGTAAGAAATCAGCTTTCAGATACACCCCATTTTACAGGTGAGAAAACAGGCCCCCAAAGCAGAAGTGACCTGGACAGGGTTACCCAGCAAATGAGAATCAAAGCCAGACTGGCGCGCAGGTCTCCTTCCTCTGTCTCCTGGCACTTTCCGCAGCTGTCCCGCCTCTGCCCGCCTTTCTGGACTGTTACAGGAAGCTATCATCTGAGTCCAAAATGCATTTTGCATTTTTCACCTCTCTATACACTTGAAGCAAGAGCAGCCAGCCACACGAGGTCCCATTTTCCCTGGGAATCCCAGCAACCTTTCCAGACTGTTCTTCCAAACCTACAATCCCAGCAGCAGCCCAGAAGCACCGCCAGCCGCTCCTTGTGTGGGAGCTGGAAGAGGCAGCCCCGGAAGGTGAGGCGCGGTGATCTGATTCACCTGCTGCTGACTCAGGCCTCAGCTCCCATTGCCCACGTAGCCACAGCCTAAATTAAATGAGCGAGCTTGTAAAAATGCAAGGCCTCTCTTCCTACCAGTTCTTAGCGATGAGTAGGCAGGTCTAATTTTAGCAGAGAAGGCTCGTAGAATGTGAGAAACAGAAGGGACTTTGAGACCATCTCAGCTTGTGGTTCCCAGCTCCCACCGAGCATCAAAATCACCCAAGGAGATTAAAAAATATACCTCCAGAGATTTGGATTAGTTGTTCCAGGGTGGAGCATGGATGTTGTCTCAAAGTTCCTGGGTGAATCAGGTGTCCAGCCCTGATCTTGCCTCACCCCTCCACTGAACAGAGGAAGCTGAAGCCTGGGGACGGAGGGGACCCTCCCAAGTCCCCACAGCATTGGGGGCACAGTCAGGACCTGTCTCCGACTCTTCCAAAAGGGCTCTGGTGTTTTCTGTCTAATGAGAAACCATGTCTAATGAAATGGCTAGGGTAAATATATTTGGTAAATAATATTTACCAAACCTTACTGTGTTCTGGGAGAGGCAGAAGAAAGAGAGGTGATATTCTTTCCTGGTCCTTGGAAGTCCATAGTCTGCTAGGGGAAGCACACATGTACCCAGACATCCCTAATACCTTGTCATAGACTGTGGCCTGTGATGAGGACACCCGGGGCTGTGGGAGAACTAGCAGAGGAAAGGGAGGAATCCAGGAAGACTCCCTGGGGGAGGAAGTGTTATTCTAAGTCTTGAGGGATGGGGAGGTAGAGTTGTTAGGTCAGGATGCTCAGTTGGATTTAAATTTCAGATAAACAATGGATACATTTTAAATATAAATAGATCCCAAACACTGACTGAGACCTACTTATACTAAAACATTTTCATTGTTTATCTGAAATTCCAATTTAACTGGGTGTCTTTAATTTTATGTGCCAAATATAGCAACACAACTGGGGGCATTTCGACAGCGGGCACTGCCAGTGGCGAGAGAACTGCCAGTGGAGGGGGCGGCATTGGCAGAAGCAGGAGGATCTACTGAGCAGTGTCTGCTTGTGCCCCCGGAGGGCAAAGGGTGTAGGGGAGGGACAAGGCTGCTGAGGCAGGGCCAGCCCAGGGAGGGCCGGGAAGCACTGGGGCTCACAAGCCACTGCCCACCCACCCTGATGGCCGCAGCAGCCTCGCAGCCCTCCCATGTGCTTCTCTCCCCCTGCAGCCAGGGGCCCGGGCAGCCGCGGCAACCCTCACAGAGCTCGGTCACACCAGCTCATGCCCTTGCTTGGGCCGTCAGTGGCTTCCCAGGCTGCATCTGGGAAAGACATCCAAACTCCTCACCCAAACCTCTGAGGCCCTGCAGGATCTGATGTGGACCGTCTGAATAAAATCTACTCCCAAGGGTCGTGGTGAGGATTCGGGGGCACCGTGTCAGGCGGTGCTCCCCACCTTGACTGCCCATTGAAACCACCTGGGGAGCTTCAAAAAGGGCCGGTATCTCAGCCCCAGCCCCCGCCCCAGAGGTTGTGGTTTAATTGGTCTGGGGGAGGCCTGGGCGGCAGGGGTTTCTAAAGATTCTCCATTGATTGCAATGCACAACCAAATGAGAATCACTGGCATACGGCGGAGTCTCTGGCCCAGAGCGCGTGGCTCCACGAGCAGGGTATTGCGCCGTCCACCACGTGTCCAACTTCGTCTCTGCCCATCTCCGGTTTCCCCCTCCCGGCCTTCCCTTCCCTGAGCTTAGGGCTTTCCAACCACCATTCCCTCTGCCCAGAACGTTCTGCCTCCCTTCTCTTAACTTGGCCAACCCTTACTCCTCACTCCCATCCAAGCCCTTCTGTTCCGTTCTCCCGGCATGCACTGGGGTCCTCCTTCACAACACCCGCCACACTCTGTGCCTATGTTTTTAATTGTGTGGGTGCCTGCTTAGCAGCTCTGTCCCCCAGCAGACTGTAAGCTACGTGGGCAGGGATCCTGTCTCTGTTGTGCCCCACTGTCCCCGTCGTCCCTGGAGCTGGACACATGATGTTGGGGCTCAGTAAATGTTGAACAAATGAATGGATGAGCGTGACTCAGCACAGGTGTGATGTGATCCAATTTACATTTCCAGAGAGATTTTTCTGGCTGCTCTGTGCTGAATGCCGGGGGTGGGACCAGCATACCAGCAACTACACAGCTGTGACAGTACCACCGAGAAATGACAGGGCCTCAACCAAGACATAGGGGATGGGGTGGGAGGCGGGACAGACAAGATGCACGGTTTAGAAAGGTGGGGACTTGGTAAAGGTGCCATGTGGGTGAGATTCTACCCCAAGGGACAGACAGGATGACAGGCGGGAAGGTGACCCAAAGGAAGAGGCTGTTGCTGGGGAAGATGAGTTCTGTTTGGGCCGTTGGGTTAGCTGTGCCAGTGGGACAGCAGGGGACACCTGGGAACCTGAAGCCGGGGACTAGAGAAGTCTAGGCTGGTGCGAGGGATTTGACATTCGTGTCAATAGAGGGAAAGGAAATTTAAAAGGTTTCATGCAAGGGTTTCCTGCCATTTCCGGGAGCAAACATTTCAAGGGAGTGGGATGTCTGTGCCCAGGAGGCTCTTCTGTCTGAGGGGAAAATTCTGAGCCCTTCCCGTGTCCCCGCAGCTATCCTGGGCATGCACACGCTCATGAGCAACCAGCAGTACTACCAGGCCCTGGGCAGCAGCTCCATCGTGAACAAGGAGGGCCTCAACAGTGAGTACACGGCCCTGCCGGCCCGGCCTCGGAAGTGAAGTCGTCCCCACGCTTCCTGCTCCCTCCCTCTCCTGCTCTCTGGCTCATGGCAGAACGTGTACACGTTTATGTGGCCAAATCTATCCACTTTTTCCTTTTACTCTCCTGGGATTTGTGTCTTGTTTACAAAGGCCTCCTTCATCCCAGTATTATTAAAATAACCTCCTATATTTTCTTCTGAAAGTTGTAGAGGTCTACTTCGTATATGCACTTTCTTAATCCACCTGGAGTTCATGTCTGTCTGTGGTGTGAGATGAGATCAAGTTTTCATTTTTTTAATGGATATCTCACTGTCCCAAAGCCATTCTTTGCAAAGCGTGCCTTTTCGCCGCTGGTTTGGGGCTCCACTTTGCCTGTAAACTTCCATGCATCAACAGGGGTCTGTCCCCAGCGGTCTTTCCTGTCCATGAGTCTCCTTGTCCTTTCCTGTGCCAGTGTTGCATTGTCTTACTTGCTCAGGCACATTGTTCCAAGCTGGCGCTTTGGCCCCAGAGAGGGGGTGCCAAAAGAATCATTAGTCCCCCCCGGAAGGCTTACATATTTCTTTCCCATCCAGGCTTCCTTTTGTCCTCAAAAGAGCCCCTCTTCACAGGCTACAAGATGTGGACTTAGAGGTTGAGAGTTTAAGGAAGCTGCCTAGTTCTTCAGGACATCAAAGCCAGAGTCCAAGCAGGGCCACATCCTCTCCACATGTCCCTGAACTCTGCCACCACTTCCTGCCAGGGTGTGCTTGGGTTGAGGGAACGTGATCTCTTGTTTCTGTGAGCTACCTCCCTTTTGTGGGTCACTCTAGGTGTGATTAAACCAACACAATACAAGCCTGTGCCCGATGAAGAACCCAATTCAACAGACGTGGAGGAAACGCTAGAGCGGATAAAGAAAAATGACCCAAAACTCGAAGAGGTTAACCTCAATAACATCCGGGTAAGTCCCTGTCACCTCACTTCACCGGAGGGGGAAAGCTACGCGCGGCACTGCACCGCTGCAGACAGCCCAGGCTTAGCAGTACAGAGGTGGCAGGGCCTGTTTGGGTTCTGGGTGCTTCTGGATCAGGAATAGGGGCAAAATCTTTCAGAAGGGATGACAGCGTAAACAAGCACGTCCCGCGGTCCTGGTTTGTTTCAGAGATCTGACGTCAGGCCCAGATGTTCACCTCCCAGGCCAACCCAACTTCAACTTGGGAAACCGCCTTCTTAGTCAAAACAAAGAGCTCCCCGAGATAAAAGATAAATCATGAGTCACCCACGCGCAGGCGCCTGTAGCTGCTCCGAACCTCAAGGCTAGAAGAGCCCCGTGCCCACCAGGCGCATGGGTAACCCAGGCCCTGGCAGGGGCCACCCCGAACCACCACTGCTGCTGAATCACGCATGTATTCAGCCTCACTCTGCAGCCGTTGCGGGGAGCTGTCGGCCCAAATATCTGAAGATTTATTCCAAGCTGTCAGCCACATCTTTCTGGACACTTTCCGTGTGACCACCAAGGGCAGAGGAGGGACAGATAGACAGGCAGTCCTACGCTCGACGGGCGACAGGCAGAATTCAGAAGCAGCCCAGCTGCCTGCCCACCTGCTCAGCCTGGAGGCCAGTGGGATTAGTCCCAGGAGGGGGGGTGGTAAGACAAGAAGCAGGCCCCTCACTCCCTGGCTCCTCTTTCCTTTCTTCTCCACTTTCTCTTAAGTGACTGTTAGCTCCACGACACAATCCGATTGGAAACCTGCGTCTGAAGTGTTCTCTGCCACCTGGCCTCCCGTGCTCGATTCCCATGGGGAGCTAAAGTGACGCTGTGAAATGAGAGATCCGTTAAAACACAGCCAGGGTCTCTCTCAGGTGCCTCCATTGTCTGCCGTGTGCCCAGAGGGAGACACCGGCACCAGTCAGAACTGTGTGCGCCCTGGCAGTGGATACCGGCCTGGCAGGGCCTGGCTCTGTGCCCTCGCGGCGGGGCCTCAGCAAGGGCTCGCCCTCTCCGGCCTCGGCTTCCCCTCTGCACATTAGGCAGGTGGACTAGATCGGTGTATTTCACCTGGGGGATTAAAAAATATACACCAGTGCCCAGACCTCCCCCATCCTGAGATTCTGATTTTATCAGTCTGGAGCAGGCCCGAGCATCAGCATTTGGGAAAGGTTACCGAGGAACCTCTTATGTGCGGCAGAGCTGAGACCCTTGGGGACAGATGTTTCTTAAAGGTCATCTAGTGCAACGCCCCCTCCCCGACACCGCTGTTTTCCAGAAACAGGACCAGAGAAGGTCAGAGACCTCCCCAGAGTCACAGAGCAAATGAGACCCATTGCAGGGGCGGAGGTCAGCTCACCCCCACAGGCCCAGGCCTCAGTCCTTGGCACAACACTCCTCTGCACCCTCTGCCTTGGTTTGGCCTCCTCCTCTGGTCTCTGTGTGCACAAAGAGGGAGTTGTGAGTCCTATCTGAAATTTTCAGGGAGGGTTTTCTCTATCTGCTTACCAGAAAGTTCTTCCCAAATCCTAGTCATTGAGAGAAAAGCCAGAATCCTTTGCCCATTTCGCTTTTTGGTCAGAGACTTGCTACAAATCGGGCTGCCTGTGTGAGAGCGTTAGCCCCTCCGTCTTCCCACGCTGCCCCGGGAGGGGCTGCCAGTCACTGCCTGCCTTTCTCTCTGCAGAATATCCCCATACCCACCCTCAAGGCATACGCAGAGGCCCTGAAAGACAACTCATATGTGAAGAAGTTCAGCATTGTGGGGACACGGAGCAATGACCCCGTGGCGTATGTATGTACCTTTCTGTTCTGGTGTATTGGGGGTGGAGGGGAATGCCATAGAAACCGAAGGGTGATGCCGTGGCCTTGCCACATCCCACTGATGAAGAACCTTGCAAGGTGTGGTGAACGGCATTGGGCTAGAGCCAGGAGAGGGTGTAGACAGAAGGGTGGTTACCCAGGCACCACTTTCATATCATCCTAGTTCATCTCCACAGCCACCCCCGATCCCAGAAGTGCAGGTCTCCCCACTTTGCAGGTGAAGAACTTGGGGTGCGGGAGGCCCAGGGCACTTGCTTTATCCAGAGTTGCAGAGCAAGGGGGAGGTAGAGCTGAGGTTTAAATGCAAGTCACATGGACCCCACAGCCAGATCTCTCCACATCCAGCACGTTGTGTTCGGACAAGGGCCTCAGTTTCTCCATATCTAAAGTCATTGTCTTCTCCAGCGGGTCCCAATGACCAACTTCATTTGTTTTTTATTCATGTCTTTAAAATATTACTGTTCAAGTTAAATTGTACTTAATATAAAGTAGCCATCAGTTCTTTTTTTTCTTTTTAAACATTCAACACAAGTTTATTAAGAGTCTCTGTGTCCAGCACTGAATTAGGCTCTGGGAATACAGCTGTGCCCAAGACACATAATATAGCTCCCACTTCCATGAACTTATGGTCTATTTGGCCATGCAGACAACTAAAAAATAACAGTATAGAGTGACTGCTACACTCTAATAGCAAGTAAAGAGTGCAGGACTAGCTTACCAGGGATGGTAATTGACCATTTAGTGGTAGTTTGTCAGTATGCACATAATAAGTTCCTGGGATTTTGATTGGGATGGCATTGAACCCATAGATTAAGTTGGGAAGAACTGACATCTTGAAAATATTGAGTCTTTTTATCCGTGAACATGTACCATCTCTCCACTTATTTAGTTATTTGATTTTGTTCATCAGAATTTTGTACTGTTTCTCATATAGATCTTATACGTATTTTGTTAGCTTCTTACCTAAGTATTGCATTTTGGGGGGGGTGGTATAAATAGTATTGTGTTTTTTATTTCAAATTCCAGTTGTCCATTGCTGGTATAAAAGAAAGTGATTGGCTTTTGTATATTAACTTTGTATCCTGCAACCTTGTTATAATCACTTATTAGTTCTAGGGGAGCTTTTCCGGGTCAATTCTTTCAGACTTTCTCCATAAACAATTATGTCATCTACAAACAAATGCAATTTCTTTTCTTCCTTCCTATTCTTTAAATCTTTTATTCCCTTTTCTTGTTTTACTGTATCAGCTATATGTTAATGAGGAACGGTGAGAAGGGACATCTTTGCCTTTTACCTGATATTAGTAGTAAAGTTTCAAGTTTCTCACCACTAAGTGTGATGTTAACTGTAGGTTTTTTTGCAGAGGCTCTTTACCAAGTCGTTGACATTTTCCTCGATGCCTAGTTTATGGAGATTTTTTTAATCATGAATGTGTGTTGGATTTCATCAAATGCTTTTTCTGTATCTATTGATATGATCATGTGCTTTTTCTTTGTTTTCCTGTTGATGTGATGGATTATATTAATTGATTTTCCAATGTGGAACCAGCCTTACATACCTGGGATAAATCCCACTTGGTCACGGCATGTAATTGTTTTTTGTTCATTGTTGGATTTGCCAGTTTTTGAAGATTTTTGCATCTATATTCATGAGAGATATGGGTCTGTTGCTTCCTTGTAATGTTTTTGTCTGGGTTTGAGATAAGATAATGCTGACCTCAAAGAAGAGTGAGGAAGTTCTTTTCCACTTCTATCTTCTGAAAGAGAATTGGTATCTTTTCTCCTTAAATATTTGGTAAAATTCACCAGTGAACCCATCCAGGCCTGGTGCTTTTTGTTTTGAAGCCTATTAACTATTGATTCAATTTCTTTAAGAGATAAAGGCCTATTCAAATAGTCTATTTCTTTTTACATGAAGTTTGGAAAATTGTCTTTCAAGAAGTTGGTCTGTTTCATGAAGATATGAGTTGTTTATAGTATTCCTTTATTATCTTTTTTTTTAATTCCCATGGGATCCATAGTGATGTTCTTTTTTCATTTCCAATATTAGTAATTTGTGTCCTTTCTTCTTTTTCTTAGCCTGGCTAAGGTTTATGGATTTTATTGATCTTTAAAAAAAAAAAACAAAAACAAAAAAATGGCTTTTGGCTTCTTGATTTTCTCTATTGATTTCCTGTTTTCAGTTTTATTAATTTCTTCTCTAATTCTTATTATTTATTTTCTTCTGTTTACTTTGGATTTAACTTGCTCTTTTTTTTTCCTAGTCCCTTGAGACGGAAACTTAGATGATTGTTTTAGATCTTTCTTATTTTCTAATATATGCATTCACTGCTATAACTTTCCCTCTGAGCACTACTTTTGCTTCATCCCACAAATTTTCATAAATTATATTTTTATTTTCATTTAGCTCAAAATACCTTTCAACTCCTCTTGTGATTTCTTCTTTGACCCATATGTTATTTAAAAATGTGTTGTTTAATCACCACATATCCTGAGGTCTTCCAGTTATCTTTCTGCTACTGATTTCTAGTTTAAATTCACTGGAGTCTGAGAGTAGGCATTGTATGATTTCTATTTTTGTAAATTTATTAAGATGTGTTTCATGACCCAGAATGTGGTTCACCTTGATGAATATCCCATGTGACCTTGAAAAGAATGTGTATCCTGCTGTTGTTGGGTGAAGTAGTCTATGGATGTCACCTCTGTCCAGTGGGCTGATGGTGGTATTGAATTCAGTTATGTCCTTACTGATTTTGAATTTGCTGGATCTGTCCATTTCTGAAAGAGTGATGTTGAAATCTCTAACTCTAGCAGTAGATTCATCTTTCTCCTTGCAGTTCCGTTAGTTTTCCTCATGTAGTTTGATGCTCTGTTGTTAGGTGCAAATACAGAAAGGATTGTTATATCTTCTTGGAAAATTGATCGCTTTACCATCACATATGCCCTTCTTTAATCCTTGATAGTTTCTCTTGCTTTGAAGTCTATTTAGTAGCAATCAACTCTTCCTGCGTTTTGAAAATAGGCAGGACAATTTCCTCTGATATATTTGAAATAATAGAAATAGCTTAGAGTCTCTCATTGCTCCTGGATAGATGACCTCTGACCTCAGGACATCTACAGTGGCTCTGAGTTCACCCACGGAGATGTGGCCGGCAAAGCCACATGCCCAGCACGCTGCTGTGTCATGGATCAGAAACCAAGCATGTCCATGCGGGCACTCAGCTCAGCTCCACATATGTTTATGGCACATTGACCCTGTGCCCGGCCAGCAGCTGATGTCAGCCCGTTCACACCAGTACACCCATTGTCACATGTTGAAATGCTCTGGGATAGTTGGTAAATAAGGCTACCCGAGCTCTGTATGCACCCCCGCTGCCTGCCTCAGCACTTCTTGTGCCCACTGTACCCCAGTCCCTCCACTCTGCTCCAGCAAACAGAGATGGCACCTGGTATGACAGTGCCTCTCAGGCCTGTTCGGCCACCAGCATGTCTACTTAGATCAGCCTGGTGGACTTGCCTACTGGTTTTTAAATATTTTGATTATCAGACTCAGGCAGGCCTTTCCTGAAGAGCAGGAAGAATGCCGTGGCGGGAACACAGACTGGGTCCCTCCCCTCGGGAGGGTACAACCTACTTGGGGTCACAGAGAAAGTGGACCGGCCATCCTGGGGGAACAGCAAGGTGAGCTGAGGAGGGACTGATGGTGTCGGTCAGAGAGGCTCCCTGCGAGGTGAGCCTTCCGTAGGGCTTCAGCAAGCGGGGACAGTGAGGAGGGCATTTCTGGCTCGGATCATCCTTTCAGACAACAGGGCCCACAGATTGTACACCCTGGCCTATCAGCTGCGGGTGTCTCCTTTCCTCCATGACACACTGTTTCCACCAACTGCTAATGACTTCATTTCCTTCAGAGGCTCTGATTGTCATCTACACCCCCTGGCTGAATTCCTCCCAAACGTGCTGGGGACTACCTGAGCTCCTCTCCTCCCATTTGTCCTGGACACTTGCCCAGTGGAGTGGTTTCTCAGGCTTCCCCCTCTGCTCTCTGCTGTTCCAATCAAATGAATGATTCCATGGAATTCCAACAGGGGAACAGAAGAGACAAGTAAGACTATTTAGGGAGGCTAGGACTTTACCAGTCACTTAGTGAACAGAGACTGAGGACCTACTATGTGCTGAACACTGTGGGCACCATGGGATGAATACGGTGCATTTTCAGCCCACCAAGGATAGATACACTAATGGCAGAGACATCAGTATAAAAAGCAATCTAAACTGGGGAATACAAGTTCCGTGAGGGAGATTATGGATAAATTCTATGTGGTTCAAGAAGACAGGCCGCAGCTCACTGGGAGTGTCAGCAAAGGCTCTCAGAGAAAGGGGCATTGAGGATGGCCTTGAAGGACCGGCAGGGTCTGGGTGAGTGAATCAGACAGGAAGGGACATTCCAGGTGGCAGGGGCAGCTAAAGCAAAGGTTAAGTGGGAGGCACTGGGCAAGTATGGGGAACTGGGATTAGCCCCACCATAAGGGGGCAGTGAGAGTTGAGGCTGAACAGGGAGCAGGACCTGTGCCCAGTAGAGGCTTTGGGTGCAGGCTAAGGAGCATGGAATAACCTGGTAGGGGTTCAGGAGCCCAGGGAGGTTGGAGGGGAGGGGAGACACAGAGCTATGCTTGATGAAGGAAGTTGAGGGGATCATCTTGGCGGGTCCCTGGCTTAAACAGCACATGTGTACAAAAGACTCTTTCTCCCAGCGAGGTTCCTTCAGTATTTTAGGTTTTACCCAAAATGGGTTCCAGTCTTGCTCAGAATGACTCATGGGTACACTTGCTTTTTTCCTGTGGCTCAAGGCCCTTGCTGAGATGCTCAAGGAGAACAAGGTGTTAAAGACACTGAACGTGGAATCCAACTTCATTTCCGGAGCTGGGATCCTGCGCCTGGTGGAAGCCCTTCCATACAACACTTCTTTGGTGGAACTGAAAATCGATAACCAGGTAAGATGAGCAAGGGCCTCCTTGTGCCCTTCACTACATGATGCTGGCTGCTCTGCACTTCCCTACATGCTGCTGGACGGAGTGGATGCTGCTGATTATAAAAGCTCCAGAGTCCAGCTTCAAGGGACCTCTGCCCGCTCACCTTCCTTCTTCATTACCGCCAAGTGCTCTTGCAGCTTTTGCTTGTATGCCCCTAGCGATGGGGAGTTCACTCCTTATCGTTTATTATTAGTGAGACTGTCCTTTCTTATATCTAGTGGAAATGAGCCCCCTATAAATCATTTTTGTTGGGCTTAATTTTGTTCTGTGCTGCACACAAGACATATTTGTTGCACAAATCTTATAAACCATTGGAATCTTCCTCACCAGGCTAAATACCCCAAATTCTTCCAACACCACCCTATACACACACATGCACACACACACAATGGTTTTTTGTGTCTCCTTATCATGGAGGTTATTCTCTGGGCAAATTCTAGTTTGTCTTTATCCTTGTGGGGTTATCGTTGCTGTATAACTTCTGTGATTCAGTCATTTATTTTCAGGGCAACTCTTTAAGTTCTGAATTTCTAAAGCAATGCCAGTGACAGTGTCTGGCATCTAAGATATCTTGTATGTTACGCCTGTTGAGGGTCTGTGGTGGGCGAGGCTCGTCGCCATCTACCTGACACACAGCATCTCTGATTGTCCTGCCTGCCCTGCAGGATGTGGGTGATCCCTCTCCCAGGCTGCAGAGGAGAAAACAGCTCAGAGAGGCTAAGGCAAGCTTCCTCAGGGCTGCCAGGCCTGCGCTTTAGGAGGCAGGATCTGAATTCAGACCTCTCTGGCTCCAAAACCCACACTCCTTTCATTATACCACGTGTTTCCAATGTTAAAATGCTTCCTTTTTTATGGCATGTGGATAGGGAACCTTTTTTCCTACATGAAAATTTTTGCTACATGGTCATACAAATATGTGCATAGAAAAAAGATTGGAAGGAAATGTAACAATTGTAAATAGCAGTTATCCTGGAATGAAATACTTATCTTTATAGTAAAAATATTACTAACACACAGAAGAGTGCCTAAGACTTAATTGTACAGTTTAACGAATCGGTCTGGGCTTGTAACCCCTGTCCACGTCAAGACCTAAAACATTACCAGCTTTCAGAAGATTTCTGTGGTCCCTTGTCAATCATAACCCCTTCATAGTTTGCCCCCTACTTACTTTGATACCTCCATGTCTTTGCTCTTGCTTTTCTTCGCCACTGCCCCCACTACTTCTCTGCCTGGAGAACCCCTCCTCTTCCTCTGGATTCAGCTAAAACATATCCTTGTCCCAGTGGTGTCCTAGAGCCAGCTCGGACCAGCTTGTGATGAGCTGACTATGCACATGTCTTCCCAGCTCCCCTTCAGGGATGGCACATTGGTACCTTGAAATCGCCCCTAGCGGGAATATTCACACTATGGAAATTGGCCCTGCAGAGCACATTAGGAGCTCCCTCCCTGTGTTCTCCTGGGACCCTGGCTAGCCTGTGAGATCCTCAGAAGCCGGTGCTGGGTCCGAGTCACCTCCGTGTCTCGGCCCCGCAGTGGTGCTTGGCCAGCAGGGCAGCCGGGATGGTTGTGCGTACTGTTCACTGCACAGTGAGGTGGCAGGGGTTGAAGCCCAACCCACGTCCCACGCTTTAAGACTTGGTGTGGAGCTTTGTCCACCCAGAGAGAGTGCTTTCTGTCTAATTCATATAAAAAGGCCACATGAGCCTGCAGCAGCCCTGTCATGGAGTTTGCTGCGTTGGACTCCTAGCATCTCTCGGATGCCAGTGGCCTGGCTGCTGCTCCTTCACCCATTTCCAGACTGTCCCTGCCCCGCTGCTTTTATGTCCCTCCTTTGGCCAGTGCTACCCTGCTTTACCGAAGGCAGGAAGGGCACCGCAGATGGGACAAAGGCATATGGCAGGCGTGGCAGCAGCCGTGGGCCAGGCTCGGGGACTGGCTGGTCATGTGACTTTAAGCCTGGCCACGCAGGGAGTCAGGGTCTACCCAGTGTCCACTGAAGCCTGATCCCCGGGGCAGAAGGTTGGCCAACGATGGCCCAGAGCACTGGCCTCAGGTCACTGTGGTGGCAGCTGTCGGAGAAGGAGCCGCCCACCTTCCTTCTCACTACTGTGTCCCCAGAGCCCAGAGATGAAGCCAATGCTGACCGTCACCCTCGCCCTGCCTGAACCGCTAGTGCAAGGGTGATCGCTTCCCTGAGCCACAGTGCCTCACTTGTAAATGGGGCTAAGAAGAACCTCCACTTCTGCCCTGGCTGGCACGGCTCAGTGGGTTGAGTGTGGGCCTGTGAACCAAAGGGTCTCCAGTTTGATCCCAATTCTGGGCACACGACTGGGTTGTGGGCCAGGTCCCCAGTAGGGGGCGCATGAGAGGCAATCATACGTTGATGTTTCTTTCCCTCTTTCTCCCTCCCTTTCCCTTTCTCTAAAGACAAATAAATAAAATCTTTAAAAAAAAAAAACAAAAAAAAACTCCACTTCTGAGGAGATGGCTGATGTAAACCACGCAGTCGTTAACCTCTGTAGTTAGTCCAAAAGTGATCTAGGGAGTTCACATGTTATTCTGGGTTAATTTCCTGAGCAGGTACCATGGATCCATTACATCATTTAAGGCTCAGACAGACTGTAATTGGATATTACAACCCATTCTGGTATTACAGGTGAGGAAACTGAGGTCTATGCAGGCTATGTGACCTGCCAGTGGTCATACAGTAAGTGGCAGACGCAAGATTTGAACCCATGTCTGTGTGACTCCAAAGTCCGAGATCTGTGCTGGTTGGGGCTCTTGAACCCTACTGTAGTTTCACATGGACCTCGCTTGGCTTTTCTCAGCTGTCCCTTTTCTTAAGTGCAAGGCCAGAGCATCCTTACCACCTACACCCGCGTCCTGGGAGCCCCTTTTTTGGTTCATTTCAGCATTTGGTGAGTGCTGGCCGTACCCCAGAGCTGTGCTGGGCTCCGGCTCTGCCTTCCAGGGATTCTACGCTGCATAGGGAGACACATAAATGCAGAAATGACCATCATATGAGGTGTGCCAAAAAACCACAGACAGTGGGCCCTAAAGTCCACTGGAGCAAGCAGTCTCAGTCAGGAGTAGGCATCAGGGAGGGCTTCTTGTAGGAGGTGGAGTTTGAGAAAACTGTAGGGTGGACGGTATCTCACAGGGTGCAGTAGAGGCCATGGCATCTCAGGTGCAGGGAACCACATGAACAATGAGAAGCCCATCCATACCTGACAAATGCTACCCCCAAGAGGAAGGCCAGAAAGGGAGCTGGCAGTCCAATGGGCTCTGAATAGGTAGGTTGAGGGAAGATGGCTTGTGGACTGCCCTGTGTACTAATCAGAGTTGTGCTCAGGGACACGGGTCCCTGCTGGATGGGAGAGGACTGGGAGCAGGGAGGGGCCTCCGGGTGTGGGAGGCCAGAGCGGGTATTACGACCTCCTAGATGAGGGGCGTGTGGGGAAGTGCGCCCACAGGCCTGGCGTCTGCAGACTGAATGGGGTCTGCCAGGGGACGAGGAGGATGGGGAGGAGGCCAGTCATGAGGAGGGGGCTCTGCCACCCAGGCTCTGGGGAAGGCCACCCGTGCCTCTCACAGTGCGTCCTAGGAGGCCTGGGCATGATGACTGCCTCTGTCGGCTGCCCCATGTCGGGTCCCCAGATGCTAGGCCTTTGAGGAGTGTGACCAAAAGGAGGTGGTGAGTGGCATTTGATTTATTCCTCATTCTTGGTTACTCACCCAGGTCTTCAGAGGCGGCAGCTTTCTGCTCAGCCCCTGTGCCTGCAACCTGTGTCAGGGAGCCTCTGTTCTCCTTTTTCCTTATATGGCCAAAGAAAGGGACTTGGGGCATTCTACCCAGTGACACAGAGCCTCCCAGGCTGGCTCTGGACACATTCGGCAACCAGGACTCTGAGGTTCTTTGTTTACTCAGCCAGTCTTTCTTTATCTGCAAGCACTGCTCCGTTGGGAGCCGCAGGGACGGGGGAGGGGGCAGAGGGGCCCTGGCCGGGCTGAGGGTGCTGAGAACGCGGCTAGTCCAGCCCTCCTTTTACAGGTGGGGAAACTGAGGGTCAGAGAAGGGGTGAGAGTTGCCGGAAGCCGGAAGCCGTAGATTAAGTGTCAGAGCTGGGTGGGAGCTGAGAAGTCCTGCCTTTCAGACAGGCTTCATGCGGGTGGGCGGGAGAGGCCCTCTCAGCACTCCCCCCGCCCCCCTCACGGACCCTGCAGACGGGGGTCCCGCAGGCCCGTCCATCCCAGGCAATCCATTCTCTGGGCCTCTCAATTCACCCTCCTCACTCCCAGTGGAGCTCCTCCAGCAGGCTCTTCCTGGGACCCTCGGGGCACGGGGCACTCCCCCACCCCTCTGAATGGACAACACCTGAAAACCTGACCCTCTCCGCAAATGAGGATACGCCCAAGGTCTGGGGGTAGTGGCTGGACATTCCATTCTGGCATTTGACAGTGAGGATGTGCTTAATATATATATTTTTTAAAGCCAAAGGAAGTGGATTTCGGGGTTTTTTTTCTGATTAATTTGCTTTCCCAATTAAAGTAAGTTTAGAAAGAACACAAAAGCTATGCTGGAATAAGATCCTGAAGGTTTTTACACATGACAACGCCCCCTTAATATTAGATTGCACACTTATGTCAGCTGGCTAACTTTATTTTATTTTATTAAAGATTTTATTTATTTATTTTTAGAGAGATTGGAGGCGAGAAAGAGGGAAATATCAATGTGTGGTTGCCTCTCGAGCACCCCCTACTGGGGACCTGGCCCACAACCCAGGAATGGACCCCGACTGGGAATCAAACCTGAGACCTTTCGGGTTATAGGCTGAAGCTCATCCACTGAGCCACACCAGTCAGACCTGGCCAACTTTATTTTAAACGAGGCTGAATAAGCTTTTGGGTTTGCAAGATATAAGAAAAACACTCTTGAAAAACCAAAAGAACAAGGCTTCCTG